AATATATAGAAATTTGCTATATTCTGCGCACTCTACATTACTTTCGTCGCATCGCTCTGGGGCAATACCGCCCAAAATACGAAGTAAGTAACCGAAAACGAACGCGAAAAGAAAAAAAGACTTGAATTAATTTAGGCAGTTAAGACCAGCCCCGTCGCATTTATTATATATATTAAGTGGTTGGCGTGTAATGGTGCTCGTAGAGATGGCGGTAATGGCCAGCACGCAGTCTCAATCAATAAGCCTTCCTGTTTTTTCTTTTTTTTTTTTGCTTTTTGCCTAATATTTGTTGTACAAAATACTGGCGCAGTGTAATGTGCTTATGTGGTGCAACAACACTGAAGTTTATGAGTAAAATACGGAATAGCGCGGATTCCGTATTTACACCAACTCTGCGCGACCCTTTAAGCGCAAACTAACAAACGCCATTCTTCTGTTTTTCTTTTTTTACGTTTTAGAATTGAAAGGCTCTTATTGCGCACGACAACTATGTCGCGCAGTTTACAAGAAAGTGAATACACAATTCGTCATAGTAAAGAAAACTTTCTCAATTTGCTGGTGTTAGAACATACGGACACCCAGCCAGAAGGCAAAATCCCGAGAGTCATACCGGTCGGATACCGGAAGATGGCTTATTAACTTTACATAAATTACCATCCATGCGTAATTAGGAAGATTAGAACGTATAAGCCAGTCACACCGAAATTCTCGGCACCCTCCCCTCGTCAGTTCATTTTACCAAAACAGCACACAGAGGAAAAAAAGAAAATGTCTCGTTGCTGAGAGGTTAATTAATTGTTTCGCCGACCCTAATTAGCCTTCGACGGCTTTTTGACGTCTGGTTCGTGTATATCAGAAGAAAATAATTATAATAAAAGGCAGACGATGAATTAGGCTAAAATAGGGTGCTCAAAAAATTTGCTAAAGTATTTACCTGAAGGTTTTAGCAAAAAGAGGAGTCTTCCGCAAATAAAACGAAAGAACATTTCTTATTTTTTTTTTTTTTTTTTTTACACGTTAATTGCGATGTAGTCGCCAACAGCTTAAGAAACGTGAGACCTGCCTTATTTCGATCGCGCTTCTTGCTTCGTTGTTCTTTTTTTTTTTTTTGGCGTTATATTTTAATTTGGGTAATGCTGAAATTTTATTGCGTGACACACTTCCTGGCTGGCAGAGTCCCGGCGGCTCAGGCTAGACTGGCGGCACTCAGCGCCCTTGTCGACGCTTTGTCGACAAAAATCAATCTCTCAAAGTGCCTGGATAGGACACTGATTTCACGAAATACGTACGTCGCAAGATCCGTTTGGAGACTCACGAAGTAATGCCAATGGGGGGCGCCACATACTTCTAAAATTCAACAAAGAGAGAGAGAAAAAAACATCTTTATTGCTCGCGTAGGAAAGGACGTTTTCTTCTGAGAAACGTCGCCAACCTTTCCTAACCTTTGCCAAACAGCGCTTAACGCACGCTTGATTACAATCCCCACCACCACGCTTTCCGACTAGTAAACAAGTAAACCCGTGGAGAATACCAAATTTCCGTCTCGTCCCAGGTCTGTGCCAACCTGCATAACGAACGATGTCCGGCCTTTGCCAGATTCCGGCTAGTATTTAAACCTCCCCGTTTCCTTCTCTTCGAAGAGCTTGTTTGCCTTCGAGCTCGCGCAGCTGGTTGCCTCACACCGACCAAGGCGTTCGTTCACTCGAAGCCGTCGATCCGTGCGCGTCGTGCGTGGCCGCCACATGCTATGAGCAACGCATACGCCGTCCCTCAGCGCAAGAGATGACCAAGAAAGAAACGGCGACGTCCTCCTCGCTGCGGGTTTTCGCGTGCCGTAAAGCGCTAACATCCTCCTTTCTTTGAATTTTTTTGTGTGCGTGTTTATTTTTTTGATCACGACTCGTGGTTGCTGGGTGTGCGCGACGGGAAACCGACAGCTGGGGAAAAGTTGCCGCTAACGTAAATTCTTCGCCATCGTGCAGGAGGGAGTATTGAATAATATCGCTGCCGCTTACGTATAGGACGCAGGAGTGCTCAAAGCACACTCCTGAGGCTGATGTATGGTACCTCTTAGCACTTGCTTCACGTTTATGCCTGCTCCGCTATCGACGTCATATCAGCTGCCCACGGTGGTTTGTCTCGTTACCTAGCACGTAACATGTGCACCGTAGTACGTTTTGCACCACGTAGTTGATTCTGCTCGGCGGGAGCAGGTGAGAATGACCACCAGCATGGTGGGATGACGTACTGCGCAAGGTATGCATGTGTACGGCGAGCAAGTTGTGTCCAAAAGCGTCCTTTGGTGCATGAGAGGGTGACCTCAAGACTTGGTAAAAGAGGAGGCGCGGCGAGAGGGAGCGATCACGTGCGTACAATAAAGCTCCGCCCGCGCAGCTGTTAGCTCTTGGGTGGCTGGGGAGCGGACGACATCACGGCTGCGGGTTGAGGGTTCCCTAACGATGACGTCATGAGCAGGCCTTGTGTTCCCTGACTTCACCGCTCTCTCTGCGTGATGAACAGACGTCGATCTTGTTTACTCTTCAGAGATACAGCGGGCAGAGACAAAAAGAAGCTCAATTTAGCGTCCGCATAATATTCTCCGAATTGTCTCATGACATAGCCTTGTCTGTTGTATCACTGCGCAAGAAGCGGACAAACTTGCTCGGCGTATACTGTATAAGTGGTTTTTGCGCATGACGCATGTTCGCCTGCCGCTCCGGAGCCAGAAGGGTTCCGATAACACAGTGGAAAAGGCTACATTGTGACGCGCAAAGGAGCCTCTCATGATTGTAGATCTAACCTCATGGAACCTACTCCGCCACGCGCCCAACTCTCCGATATATACGTCCGACGAAGTGACGTCAATACAATTGCGGACATGTCGTTCCGGCTAGGGCCTCATGCGCGCAGCAAGCGCGCGAAGCTAGAAGAGCAGAGATATGGGGGTGGCCAAAACATAGCTCGTCGCGTGCGACTCACAAAGTTTATTTCGCGATGCCTTCTCTAGAAACAATGCGCCGAACACAAACAATAATGAACTTGCATGTAGTTTATGAATAAAAGCCTTCGCGTCTACATCTCCATAGAACCATTGAGATCTACACTCAAAAAAATCTCTGTGCGTCTACGTTCACGCACACCACTCGGAGAGCCAATCACCGCAACTTACGGAGGCAGCTCAGCGAATGACGATGCCGAAACATATGTTTAGACCAAAAAACGCAGTCTGAGTTGTGACATTAAGGAATGCAAGCGGGACGTTTTGCATTGCTTAATGTCACAACTCAGATGCGTTTTTTGGTCTAAACAAATGCTTCCGCATCGT